TACTTTGAATTAATGAATGTCGATTCATCCTGGTTAGATTTGTTCTGGTTCACTTGTTTTCTACAACCAAAAGAATTGCAAACAAGAGCATAACTAACGGGATTACAGTAAGCGCCATCAGATCACCAAGCTCCGGTTACTGGTAATAAGCTACTGGGCGAGGCGATTTAATTCGCAATATTCACCTCATACAACCTAACGCAACTCTTACTCATATTACTCTAGTTTGTGGAGTTGTTTGTAATAAGTCCATGATAATAAAATGCCCCATTCGGTCAGACTGGGTTCGGGTGTGGTGCAGTAGGATCGAAATTGTCGGGGAAAGGGACGCCTTGCGCGAGGAACGTAGCGGAATGCAGCAGCAGGTAAGAAATACAGGAACGAAGCGAATGGTCCGCGACAGCCGCGTGCGGCGAATCGACTACACAAAACCGACCCTACTGCCCGTCTCCCTCAGGACTGTCTCCCAGCTTTGTCCCTCCAGACACCTTGAGCGATAATCTGGCTCTCGAGGACCGACCGATACGAATCCAAATTGAACTTGAAATACCGAGATTTCTGTCTAAATCCTATATTCCTATTGTTTAATTCGAAAAAAGCTTTGAAAACATCAACAAGTGTTGGTTACCAGTATGAGCGGCGAGAATGGGGCTCGAAATGCGCATTACCGTATATCCACCCGTTCAATGTTTGCTTTAAATGTTTGTTCAGGAGGCCACCATCGCAATATCAGCATCTAATTGTCAAGCTTAAGATTTTCACGCGAACACGCCCGTATGAGGGCAGTAGAGAAGTCGTTTCGGACGAGCTCAGAAACATTTTTGAAATCCCACTACTTTCAGGATAATTATTATTCGCAATAATTCAGTGGATTAAACAGTTATCAGTAAAAAATGTTCGTTTTTTTNTTTTTTTAAATCCAATTAGCACCATTCCAGAATATTGACAGGCATCCACTGTACGCCCGACAATTGTCAGGCTCAGCGGGTGGTCTTCAATATTGCCCCAGTTATTCGACTGCTCGATATGGAGAGCAAAGTAAAAGTGGATTGAACGAACTTATTTTTGGAAACCAGCTACATTTATTAGGGATGTAACAAAAGGAGAATATAACTGTTTGACATACAGAATATTGGAAATACCGGGAATTTGATAGGATTTCGATTGATTTTCATTTGCTATCCACCAGTTTTTGACAGCTAGGGGTAGCGAGCTGAAGGGTAGCATACCTAACTGCGATGGGATCCTTTTCAATGGTGATTTGCTTCCTGACCTATTCTCACTGGGGGCCTTACGTGTCGCCCAATGTACTACAAGGTTCCAGCCTTTCTTTCGGGCACCCAATTATTCATTAGAAGGTCCGAATTCTCTTGACTCAAGGAGAAGGGCCCTCACTTCACATATACTGCAATCCATTACTTCTAACTGTTACAGCCCTATACAAACTTTTACACACGAGATTACCTTTCAACAGAACACTCAATTCTCGAATATTTGGGTGACTGAGCTGGTTGATGACTTGTGGAGGGAGTTAAGATGAATAAAACGAATTCAGGTTGAAGCTATCAGTCAACAGTTCAACTGACCACAAAATTAAAATCAAGTGTCATTGTAAAAAGGTACCTTAAAGACCACATGGCAATACAAGCTTATCGAAGCGAGTTAATGGTTTAAAGGATGCACCATGCCTCCGACTAACACTTGAAATTCTAGAAGTTCCAAATGAATGAGTGAAAAAAGAAATTCGTCTTGTGGCACAAGAGGGAATAACAAGTTTGATAAACTGTGAGATAACGATAAATGAAAATAATTTTCGAGTAGATCCCATTCGATGAACGAATGAGCTGTGATGCTTTCAAGTTTCTTTGGAGGGTAAACTCCGTTGCGGACCGATTTTCAGGAGTGCTTTCGCTGCGGCTGCCTGTTTTAGGTATATTTGCTCAACCCATGATCTGATGGCTACGACTGGGATTAAAAGCACTCGGTATAGTGCCAAACATATGAGTGTGGCTTGCGGAAACTACCCGATACACGTATTCTTCCAATTAATCGACCTTCATTGGAGGAACTGTAGATTCAGGACTCAACTGATGTAAGGCGTTTTCAGGGTAAAAGCGTGGGTATATAAAATGAGCAGCTCCATAAGTTCATTCAAGGCAAATAGATGTATCTCCCAGAAACTCCTTGGAAAACGTCAATTCAAACGGCAGTCGAATGCCATCGCGCATCCCAAAATTGATGCCCTCTCTGTAGCTCTCTGGATGACTGTCCTTCGACTTTCGAAATAGAAGGAGAAAGCAAGGCGCATCCAAAACAGCTCTGTCACTCAAGTCAATTCTATTTACTCTATTTACTAGCTCATTTTATTGATAATTGTATAGGACAAATTCATCTTCTCAAAAAAGCGAAACCGCTGTAAGCAGTGTGCTAACGAGAAATATATTATGCTCACAACGGTTGGTAAGAAGAATAATTGTTGTTTGCGTGGGAATTCTAAACTGACCCATTCAGTTCTCCCATATCAGGTGGACTTGACCAAAGTGCGAAATTTCTAATGAAGCAATCATTACATGTTTTGAGATAAACTGCTATCCAACGCTATTATTTTGAACACACTAACCACTTATTATTTTTATTATTATTTATTTATTTATTTATTTATCCATGTTTAGACATGGATTTACCTGCCAATCATTTATTGACTTTACAAAATCTCCATTTATCACAGTCCTGTCATGAATTAGCTAATTTTCGCGGATTATTGGAGGGCTAGAATGAACGTTGGATACGGTAGTGGTCATCGTTGTGAACGGCCGTCTCTTTGCTGTCATCGATCTTCTCATGTGCACTGGACGACCTGGCAGATGAGCATCACTTGTCACCCGAATTTCCAATTTAACCGTTGCCCTTGCTCACCAAAGGCCATGGGACAGCCCCCGAGAATCTAGACCGTAGTCAGAGTTTCGAAGATCAGAGTCCAGAGACCTGATCTGAGCTCTCTGAGCACTTGAGATGTTTCAATCAAGACTCCAAACTCAAGTATGAAATGCCATCAAAACAGAGAGCTCTTCCATTATCAATTTGAGTTTTTGTCCATTTTTGACTGATATTTTGGTCATGAAAAGTTACTAGCAAAAAAACTATTACTCAGTGACAGTATCAAGCGGTTCTTGTCGTTACCGTACCTAGCTCAAATACTTGTTGAGCTGTAAAGCCTGAAACCTTGCTAGTTGTTTTTTACGAAGAAGTGAAACACTATAGCCTTTCGACAAGCGATTCTTTTGAAGCACTGCCTTATAACGGAAGCAATACACCTGTAAGGCCTTGGTAAGTGAGCCGAAGAATTAGAGTGACGAGTGCAGGTTTCATTTGATAATCTGGTAATATAGACTGTTAGACTACCTTTTTTGGTTTTATAAGCACATCAGTAGAAGCGTGCTATAGAGTTTTCCCTATTGAGGGTCAACTAATTGGATGAAAATCATACCAAGAAACAGGGGTGTCCCGGTCGAAAGTCTTCAAAGAAGGCAAAATGGTCGAGGGTTCAAGTTCCCACTAAGCTCAATCTGTTTGTCATCAACCGCCTACCTACTTGTTACCTGTCCGAAATAGTGTAAACTACCCTTCTTGCAAGTCTTGTGACCAGCCTCACTCCAGCGCTCCCTTAGTGGAGCCACACCGTTGACAGTAGCGCCACTAGCTACCGTACTACCCTCATACTGCTGCCTGGAATACGCTTGCTGGAGCAACCGTCTGTATGACTTCTTAAGTGACAGTGTATCTTGGCTGTTCTTGAAAAGTTAAAGTAAAATGTATCAAAACGCATCTTTATCTAGTAACTCGTAACCGAGTCTAATGTAAGGCTATAATTTTTACCCCCTTACTTTACTTCGTTCATTTCTCCTACCTGGTTTTTTCTACTAAAAAAGTTGAATTCCATATTTGTTATCTGTATATGTAGTATATGATTTGACTGCTCCTAAAAACTGGAAAAAAGGTATCAAATGCTGCAAACGGAGGCTACTTGTTGTCTGCGCATTGCTTTCAGAATTTGATAAAACTGACGCACAGGACAGGCGATAAAATTGGATTTCGGATGTCATTGATGCTCGGTTTTTTGATTTCCGGAAATTGGTGATATGGTATTTTTCAGATTATTCGGGCGATTCTGTGCCCGATGTCATGGAGCGTTGGCATCGCGTGATTTGGTGTTCCGCTGTCAACATGCCACGTATCATCAGCAATGCTTTTCATGCTTTTATTGTCATGTACAGTTTAAAAAGGTATGAGTAAGCGCTATGTGAAGTGTATGCTATTTTGACTGTTACGGAGAAACAGCAGCAGAGTTTGATTTTGTCAAAACTAATGATTAATTGAAGATAGACGACATCATCACATCATGACACCGTATCGTTAATAACAATACATAATATGGTTGTTCGTTCTTTTAGGGAGACGAATATTTGATCGTTGAAGGAGAAATCGTCTGCCGAAAAGATTACCACATGCTGCTGCAGAATCACATTCATACAAGTATTGATTTCAGTCATAGTTTTTGTAAAGTGCACCACAAATATCTCTACCGGATAAGGAAATATTTTTTCGAAAGCTTGTTTTTCCTTCACAAAGAATTNCTCTCCTTTCCTGCCAATTAGTAGTGAGGGTTAGAAGTAAGGAATAAAGTATACAAGGAATGCATTAGGAGTACTCTGAGATAAAGTAATTATTTGGAGGTGGAATTGGGGGGTTAAGGGGTAAAGGTGGAATCGGTCCGCGTTATTTGCTGCTGGCGTTGATCCTTTTTGAAAGAGGTACGATTCCATGCAGAGAAGTAGCGCGGTCACAGCCTGCCGGAACTTGGAACCATAGTATGACTGGTAAGAAAAGTGTAAGAGTAGCACTCGTATGCAGTGTGCCCAAAAAAGTCCTTACTTTTGTAGAACTTATCGGGCCTTCCCTTACTGAGGTCAGAAGTAACTTTGAGAATGGGGAATCCCCTCACCTCATTATACATAGCAGCAACGCTAGCTCGGAGGACAGTCAACTTAATCGCTGTCAGTTTATTAGTAAACATGAAAAGCTGCAAATCTTATCAACCATTGATTTATGTATTACTTATTCATAAATTGTCAGCTTGGGGATTGGTAAATCGAGGGGATGGAATGGATCGTAGAGATTTTCATCATTCAGTGACCGGTGCTCCAGTTCTTTTCGACTTCGAGTCATCAGAATCAAGTCGAAAGACGCCAAAGCGACCGCGAACGATTCTCAATGCCACCCAACGAAAGCAGTTCAAGGCAGCCTTCGAGAAAAGTGCAAAACCATGCAGAAAGGTAAATGTTGTCACTATTGCTAGATAGTAATTAACTATTTTAACTACTTGTCAACCTTTTATCTGCCCTTAAGCCTCTTGTTTACACATCAATCCATGTTTTATACACAAAGCCTGAGCGATGCAGAAGGAAGAAATTGTTGCGAGAGAGAGGCGCCGCGCTGAAGGAATGTCCCAGAATGCAGCAGCATTTGAGAATACAGGAACAGAGGAACTAATATTAGAATCATGTTAAGATAATAATCGTATATCGATTGAACCGCATTAGGAAGGCTAGAACTGTAGCAACGGTGATGCGAATGGTCCGCGACAGCCGCGTGCGGGGAATCGACTACACGAAACCGAAACCGTCCCCGAGCCTGAACCCCTGTGATTTGGGTGACTCACCGTCGATAGATTCTTTTGACTGAGCCCAACAACTATCAATTCATTACTCATTATAAGAATAACTATTATCTTACAAAGTTTTGCTCTGTTTAGATCCGGGAACAACTTGCCAAGGAGACTGGGTTGAGCGTACGAGTGGTCCAGGTATGGTTCCAAAACCAGCGTGCAAAGGTGAGATCTATTCATCGATTTTAACTTGGTATCACTGATTACTTACCTCCGACTTACAGATGAAGAAAATGCAAAGAAAAGAAGAGAGTAAGCGCGGCTCGAGTGCACTTGACTCTGAGGGTAAAAGTATCGAAGGCGAGAAGAGCTCCGATGAAGGTAACTTTGATATTTACTACTTTTTACTATATTCACAGCATATATTTTTTATAATTTTTCATAATTTTCATTTGCTTTTTTTTCAGAAAATTGCTCTGATTGCGATGATCTGGACATGGATCAAGCGGAAAAGTCGTATCCAGAAAATCCCATTGAGAAACTCTATCACATGCAGAGCACGTACTTTCAATTTACGTGAAATCTGGAAAACTTCAAAACTCTCCAGGGACTAGCCCGTCCTGGACATTGACATCACTGTGGCCTCGATCAGCATCAGTTCAAATTAGAAAGTTTTTTTTTCTAGAGCTGTCCAAAGCCGCTTATCTTTATCATAGCTGGAGCATCAAAAATCACATATCTTTATGCTACAATGGAAAATTTGGTTTACGGCTTTATTTATTGATTTTGAATTCCTTTTAAGCTCAAGTTTTTACACGCGTAACGACGACAATGCCATGTTGTCACAAGGAACTTTATATTTCTCGGGAATTTTCTCATTTTTTATTGTCTGAATTACAATTTGTATAGGTTTGTATGCATGTCAGTGCCGTCATAATCACTATAATGCCAATTTTTACGCAATATTAGGTTAATACACATATAGTGCTCCTACGCTATTTACTTGCATCTTTGTTCGATAGACTTGTTACCAAATAGTGAACTCTGCAAGAAATTTTCAGCTTATAACGAGAAATCGGACCAAATTAATCTCCCTCATTTTCCTCTATCCACAAAGTAGTATATAATGAAGTCATATCGAGAAATACGCGTGTGCCACTCTTTGTCATCGAAATTCGAGCCTGCGGTTATACTCCGAGAATTTGTCGCGAGCTGCGCAAGCCTACGATGCGTAGCGGTGCGTGGCGAAATGGGCGGTGCTGCCAATCGCTGCCGTCCTCCGCTACCTCCACATAAACGCTATATCAGTCGTAGCTGGGCGATCTCGTCCAGAACGGGGTTTTTCCACCGAGTATAACCGCAGACTACCAAGGTTTCATGTTCAAATACACTGGTTGACTATTGTGTGCATTGTCTTTTTTCTGGTCATCTCTATTCTTCTTGCCATACTGTTTCTAGTCAGAAGTTTACATCTCATGCTATCTATCAATATTAATTATCTGCTTTTGAGTGTTTGGTACTCGTGTTTACATTTGTTATTTTATTTCAGTATAAAAAATAAATTGCTTTGAAGGAGTTAATAGAAATATTGTTGCACAACGAGATCGGACAACGAAAAATGAATGCGAATCTAAAGACACATAGAATTTGAAAATGCAAGAAAAGTCATAACATGGTGAAGCGACTAGACTTAATATCAAGGGTGAACATTTCACAGGTAATTTTGTAATTTGAGTCAAATCGTGCTCATTCAGGTCCTCTTACAGTGAGGCCTCTTAAAAAACGTTCACTGGTTTCGTACACAGACTTTGTACCGCACAAACTAATCAATAATCGTGAAATTTGCGATTTGTGAAGAATCGGATAAAAGCTCGAAGATAACTGCTAGCGGTCACTGAAGTATTACAATGGCAGAGTGGCGAAACTGATACTGTCAGCATTCCTGTACGAGAATTGATCCCATTCCTCTCCCCCCTAATTGGCGATGCTGATCTCACTTGCAGTAAATCGACAGCAATCAATAAACATTCAGGGTACTGTCTCTATTTATGGGGCTTATATACATGTGAAATCGATCGGTTTACCTCTTGGAGAGGTCAATTTGAGCGGTTTAGAACAGGCGATGTATGCTTGCAATTCTACTGGTAACCAACCTCTCATGCCCAACTCTAAGGCCCTAGAACTAATCACTTAATTTCCACATAGTCATAGCATATAGTAAAGAGGTCCGAGCAATAAACCGGTCATAATGGAAAATCCTTGTGTACCACCACTGCCGCACAGCAAGGCTTTGTCAAATGAAGCGGGCCTGTATAGTATCCTTCTTCCATTCAACGGTTGAACAGGTCGGAAGTTTAGCAGGTGGCGAGTGTTATCCGCTGAGTAGATTTGGCGGAGTATTTTCATCTAAACTTAATATATTAGAAAACTGTTGTAATACAAAACTGTATTATAACATAAAAATTATTATTGATCATGCTCAAAAGACCAATAATAGCTCCAGACTTTAGAAAATTTGAACAGTGGAATTCATCAAGGAGAACGATTACTTGAAAAATCCTTCTTGAACATTTAGTTTTTTTTCGAAATTCCCAGATGCCTGGATATTGAGAGAGAAAAGGAGGAGCTGCTATGTGCCCAAAACTTACCATAATGAAAAAGCTGATATCCATCAGCAGCGAAGAGGGATAGAGTGGGGGGAAGGGAGGGGTTGAATCAAATGGGGTTATCAATTGCCAACTCTGGTAAGTAACGGTCAGGCAGTTCTCCGGTGATAACTACATGCAAGCAAAGCTACGTCTCGTCAATTTATTCTATGCTGCTGCTTGATACTGCTGAAGGACCCCCTCCCTCACTTGAAAGCATGACGGGCACATGAACCTAAAATGATAGGCACAATATATGCCTCGCTTGTTTCGGAACTTTATTCCATCATACTATGCATATGTGTATATGTGTATGAATATTATTAATAATTATAGGATTATATATAATTAATATTTGTGGTTAGAATTCATAACATTATATAATAGAATGTATATGTAATATTGAAGCCTACGGATTTCACACATAATAGAATATACTATCTATTTAAGTACTATATACTATATTATACGTATATATTTATACTATATATGTAGGTATAGTATATAAATTACTCATATTGGCTGAGTTTTCTACTCGCTGCTCTATTCCGGTGAGAGTTTCTGGACTGACCCGAATTTTCAGGTTGAAATTGCCTTGATACTAATTTCCCTGAAAATTTGCGTTTCACTCCTTCCATATAACTAGAGGCGCAGTTTCTGTTCGGTCTCCCTATTACTTCGTGACGTGGTGGCCACATATATCAGTTCTGCAAGAGCAATACAAACTACGTCTTTGTCGCATGTAGCACCTCACCCTTCCAGTCTCACGAAAGCCAAGTTTGAGAAGTATACCTACTCTGCAACTCTGGCAGCGCCTTACAACATTTTAAGTTCAACTACATCGTCCTTCAGATCGATTAGCTAAAAAAGTAGGATTTTCCAGAACTTCCTCAATTGAAAGCTCAGAAATCGTTGTTGGTAACCTAAATATGCGGTCCTCTCCCCGTATTTTTCATAGAGCTCCACGGCTTGCTCATGAGCTTTCCTATATTGCAAACCACTTGATTTTAATAAGATGAAGATAGGACCTGTGCTCTCGTTATGCTGATCGGTTCTGCCATAACGGTCCAAATGACAGCTTCATCGCAATTGGGAGTGGTGAGACTTCCATCATAACGGTAAAACGCATCAGTGCGGGCTGGAAGAAGCGGACGAGCCCGAAAACCTTGCACGGTTGTTTGATTTCCTAAAAATGGTCCTGTTTCGATTTCTATAAAAGAGCATTGAACGAGATCTTGGGGAACCTCTGAAAAAAAGAATCCGTTCCAATTTTGTTTTTCGGCGTCACCACTTCAGTCGTTGGGGTCAGGGTCCTACGATTGCATCCGTCGTAGAACCCCGACTCCTGACAACTGAAGCGGTTCCAAAAAAAGTAGCAGATTCTCTAACTACTATAACCAGTACTTCCAAACAACGGTTAGAAAAGATATTCGATAAACATTACATAGAAAAAGATACAAAAACCCCTACGCTCGAAATTTGTGAAAAATCCATGGATGAAGCTCTAATGCGTTTTCTCACCGGGATATATGACACTCTCCAATGCAGATGAAATAGAGCTCAATGGGCCTCCATCATGTCCGATAAGGAGAAAAACGCCGACGACCGCTAGGCCATCTGGTCTTTTTATGGCTTCCTGCAGTGTGAGGCCTTCACGTGCATGCACCAAATGTAGCTGCAAATAAGGACGATCTCAGTGGCAAAGGCAGTGCAGCAATGCTGTCATTTTTCAAGATTTGCATGATTTGAAAATTAAAAAAACAACTATCTTGGATTTTTCTCAGTTTCTACTTTGTATGAAGTAGTTGTGTTGTAACGGCTATGTCTCTGACTACCTGAAAGTGGACCTAATTTATGTAAATTTTCCAAATCTCTTCTCCCTTCGGAGGGTCGCTCTTCTGTGATGACAATTTCGCGGGACAACCAATGAGCAGCATACCTTGGTGCAGGAAGTGTTGGTCACGCTCAGAAGTCAAATCAAAAGAAGCTGCGAAAGCACGATAATTCATAGTGGTCCTTTCGGGAGACGGGCAGTAGGAGCGATTTTGTGTAATCGATCCGTTGTGGCGGACCATTTGCCTAGTTATAACAGTTCTAGCGTTCTTCATACAGCTCAATCACTATGCAATTACTACTTGTGGATTGATTCTACAGTGAGTTCTCTTGTTCCTCAATTTTTTACTTGCCGCTGCATTCTGCTACATTCCTTCGCGCGCGGCGTCTCTCTCGCCACGATGCGACAATTTCGTTCCTTCTGCACCACACCCTTTTACAATGGAC